TGGTCTTCGGGGATGTATAAAGACGAATGTGTAGTTTGTAATGAAAGGAGGAGGATAATTTGAGTTGTTGTTGTTGTTAGGTGCTGCTGAGTCAGCTCTGACTCATAGCAATGCTTTGTACAAAAGAATGAAGCACTGCCTGGTCCTACACCATTCTCACAATCGCTGCTGTGGTTGAGCCCATTGTTGCAGCCACTGTGTCAATCCATCTCGTCGAGGGTCTTCCTTTTTCCCTGACCCTGTACTTTGCCAAGCTTGATGTCCTTCTCCGGGGACTGTTCCCTTCTGATGACGTAGTCAAAGTACATGAGATGAAGTCTTGCCATCCTTGCTTCCAAGGAGCATCCTGGGTGTACTTCTTCCAAGACAGACTTGTTCGTTCTTCTGTCAGTCCATGGTATTTTCAGTATTCTTCACCAGCACCATAATTCAAAGGCATCAATTATTCTTTGGTCTTCCTTATTCATTATCCAGCTTTCACAAGTATATGAAGTGATTGAAAACACCATGGCTTGGGTCAGGTACACCTTAGTCTTCAAAGTGATATCTTTGCTTTTTAACACTTTAAAGAGGTCTTTTGCAGCAGATTTGCCCAACACAGTGTGTCGTTTGATTTCTTGACTGCTGCTTCCATGGGTGTTGATTGTGGATCTAGGTAAAATGAAATCCTTGACAACTTCAGTCTTTTCTCTGTTTATCATGAAGTTGCTTATTGGTCCAGTTGTGAGGAGTTTAGTTTTCTTTATGTTAAAGTGTAATCCATACTGAAGGCTATAGTCTTTGATTTTCATCAGTAAATGCTTCAAGTTCTTTTCACTTTCAGCAAGCAAGATTGTGTCATCAGCATAACACAGGTTGTTAATCAGTCTTCCTCCAATCCTGTTGCTGCATTCTTCTTCGTATAGTTCAGCTTCTTGAATTATTTGTTTAGCATACAGATTGAATAAGTATGGTGAAAGGATACAAGCCCGACACACACCTTTCCTGATTTTAAACCACGCAGTATCCCCTTGTTCTGTTGGAATAACTGCCTCTTGGTCTATGTACAGGTTCCGCATAAGCACAATTAAGTGTTCTAGAATTCTCGTTCTTTACAGTGTTATCCATAATTTTTTATATGATCCACGTAGTTGAATGCCTTTGCATAGTCAGTAAAACACAAGTAAACATCTTTCTGGTATTCTCTGCTTTCAGCCAAGTTCCATCTGACATCAGCAATGATATCCCTCGTTCCATGTCGTCTTCTGAATCTGGCTTGAATTTCTGGCAGTTCCCTGTTGATGTACTGCTGCAACCATTTTTGAATTATCTTCAACAAAATTTTACTTGCATGTGATATTAATGATACTGTTCAATAATTTTCACATTGTGTTGGATCACCTTTCTTTGGAATGGGCACAAATGTCTCTTCTAGTCGATTGGCCAAGTAGCTGTCTTCCAAATTTCCTGGCATAGACAAGTGAGCACTTTTCAGTGTTGTATCTGTTTGTTGAAACATCTCAATTGGTATTCTGTCAATTCCTGGAGGCTTGTTTTTCACCAGTGCCTTCAATGCAGCTTGGACTTCTTCCTTAAATACCATTGGTTCTTGATCATATTCTATGTCCTGCAATGGTTGAACCTCAACCAACTCGTTTTGGTACAGTGACTGTATTCCTTCCATCTACCTTTGATGCTTCCTGTGTTGTCCAATATTTTGCCCATAGAACCCTTCAATATTGCAACTTGGGGCTTGAATGTTTTCTTCAGTTCTTTCAGCTTAAAAAAATGCTGAGTGTGTTCTTACCTTTTGGTTTTCTAACTCCAGGTCTTTGCATATTTCATTATAATACTTTGTTTTCTCAAGCTGCTCTTTGAAATCTTCTGTTCAACACTTCTACTTCGTCATTTCTTCCCTTCGGTTTAGCTACTCTATGTTCAAGAGCAAGTTTCAGAGTCTCTTTTGACATCCATTTTGGTCTTTTCTTTCTTTCCTATCTTTTTAATGACCTTTTGCTTTCTTCTTCTAAGGTGTCCTTGATGTCATTATACAAGTTGTCTGGTCTTCGGTCATTAACGTCAGTGCATCAAGTCTGTTCTTGAGATGGTCTCTAAATTCAGGTGGGATATACTCAAGGTCGTACTTAGGCTCTCATGGACTTGTTTTGATTTTCTTCAGCTTCATCTTGGACTTGCATATGAGCGGTTGATGATCTGTTCCACAGTCATCCCCTGGCCTTGTTTTGACTGATAATACTGAGCTTCTTCATCGTCTCTTTCCACAGATGTAGTCAGTTTGATTCCTGTGTATTCCATCTGATAAGGTCCACGTGTATAGTCACCATTTATGTTGTTGAAAAGAAGTATTTCCAATGAAGAAGTTGTTGGTCTTGCAAAATTCCATCATGTGATCTCCGGCATCATTTCTATCACGAAGGCCATATTTTCTTTTTTTATTTTAAGCATTTTTTTAAATTGTTTTAGTTAAATGAAGTTTACATTTCAAGTTAGTCTCCCATACAAAATTTTATACATACAGTGTTATGTGACCCTAATTGCTCACCCCATTCTGCGACAGCACACTCCTCCTTTCCGCCCCTGATTCCCCATGACCATTCAGCCAGCTTGTAACCCTCTCTGCCTTCCCATCTCACCTCTGGACAGAAGCTGCCTCTTTGGTCTCTTGTATCTACTTGACTAAGAGGCACACTCTTCTCGAGTATCACTGTATGTCCCACAGTCCAGTCCAATCCCTGTCTGAAGAGTTGGCCTCGGTAATTGTTTTAGTTCTGGGCTGATAGAGAGTCCAGGGGCCATGCTTTCCGGGGTACCTCCAGTGTCAGTCAGACCATCAAGTCTGGTCTTCTTACTAGAATTTGAGTTCTTGCACCCCATCCTTCTGCTGCTCCATCAGGGACTCTGTTGTGTTCCCTCCAGGGCTGTCATTGGTGGTAGCTGGGCACCATCTAGTTCTTCTGGTCTCAGGCTGATGAAGTCTCTGGTTTATGTGGCCCATTCTGTCTCTTGGGCTAATACTTTCCTTGTGTCTTTGGTGTTCCTCGTTCTCCTTTACTCCAGGTGGGTTGGGACCAATTGATGCATCTTAGGAGGGCATATTTTCTGGCTACGGATCCTTCTTCTTTGTTTCCAACTTATGCATTCTAATCACCAGTAATATCAATGCATCTTGATTGCAAATTTGATCAATTTCAGATTTCAGAAGTTGGTAAAAATCTTCGGTTTCTTCATCTGTGGGCTTAGTGGTTGGTGTGTAAACTTAAATAATAGTTGTATTAACTGGTCTTCCTTGTAGGTGTATGAATATTATCCTGTCACTGAAAGTGCTGTATTTCAGAATTGATCTTGAAATATCCTTTTTTGACAATGAATGTGAAGCTATTCCTCTTCAATTTGTCATTCCTGGCATAGTAGACCATATGATTGTCTGATTCAAAATCACCAATACCAGTCCATGTCAGCTCAGTAGTGCCCAGGATGTTGATCTTTATGCATTCTATTTCATTTTTGATAATGTCCAGTTTTCCTAGATTCATACTTCATACAGTCCACGTTCTGATTATTAGTGGATGTTTGCAGCTGTTTCTTCTCATTTTGAGTCATGCCACATAGCAAATGATGGTCCTGAAAGCTTTACTCCATCCACTAAGGTCGGCTCTACTTTGAGGAGGCAGCTCTTCCCCAGTCGTATTTTGAGTGTTTTCCAACCTGAGGGGCTCATCTTCTGGCACTATATCAGACAGTATTCTGCTGCTATTCATAAAATTTTCACTGGCCAGTTTTTTTTTTGAGTAGATTGCCAGGTCCTTCTTCCTAGTCTGCCTTAGTCTGGAAGCTCTGCTGAAACTTGTCTACCATGAGTGACCCTGCTGGTATTTGAAATACCAATGGCATAGCTTCCAGCATCACAGCAACACGCAAGCCACTACAGTATGACAAACTAACAGAGTGGTGGCAAACGGGCTTAGGTAACAGCTATCATAAGGAGCCTGGTGGCACAGTGGTTAAGTGCTCCGCTGAGGATAAGGTCATATATAAAAGCTTTAGGTTTAGCTTAGAAGCTACCTTTCCATTCTTCCTCAAGACTAGGATTTATAGGAAGTTTTACCCAGATCTTCCACCTTCAATAACCCTCCTTGAGGGCCTTTTTAAATTTTAAATGTAAGATTTAATGGGTTGGTTGGTTTTTCAGCTCTCCTGTAGAAAGGCTGCTCATTAAAAAATGAGAAGGGTAAATTTGGAGACAGAAAGCTCTGTTTTTCATTCTAATTGATATTGGATAGTTCAGGGACCTTTTGAGGACCAACTCTAGAAAGCAACCAAATGAGAGTCAGCATGATGAAGGGGCTTTTGTAGTCAGACAGACTAGGGTTTAAATCCTGACTGCCGCTTACTAGCAAGCTGTAAGACCTTGGATAAGTCACTTTGCTCCTTGAAGTTTAGATTCTTTATTTGTAAGATGGGGGTAACATTATCATGTTATTGTCTTATATAAAACATAGTGCCTGGGGTGTGGTAGATACTCCACAAATTGTTATTTTCTCCTTACCCATCTTCCAAGAGCATTTTATTTTTAGTAGAATCCTGGCTTTACCCCTAACTAATTGTGTGACTCACCCTTTCCAAGCTTCAGTTTCCTTCTTTAAAACAAGGGCATTCAACTAGTTGATTTCTGAGATGCTTCCCAGCTGTAAGATATCATATAGATTTTTACACTTTTGGGCAGTACTATATAGGGCTGTTCGTTTAAAGAATGGCAGTGTATTCTTCCTTGGGACCATATCATCTGATAGAGAAGGGGAAGTCTCCTGGGAGCTAAACTCTTTTTTCTCCTGCCTGAGAGAGATTTAGCCAACTTCCTTCAGAATCTGGATCTGGACTCAGATTCTCCCTTGTCTTCTTTCTGATACTGCTCTGTATGTGAAAGTTTTTGGGACAGACCTTTGGGTGGGCACAGTCTTGTTGTGATTCATGCTCTACTTATCTCATCCTATTCTATCCAGGTCAAGAGGCAGCTGCCATTGAAAAGATAGTGATTGACTGTTTCCAAGATAGCAAGCATCAAGGGAGCAGCCTGAAGTATTGACGGAAAGCTTAAGTTACCTAAATGGTAAGTGTGTTGCACAGTGAAACCTGGGCACACTGATAGAATTGGGTGGTTTCTGAAGCCTCTCCAATTCTTCCACTGCTTAAAGGGAAGGGAGGAAAATGAAGATTTGTTGATGGTCTATTATGAGCTAAATACTATGCTAAATACTTTACATGTTTTTTCATTTAATCAACCAACCAACCTAATGAGGTAAAATTCCTTGCATGAATCTTTAAGAAGTAGGCCTAGCTATGATTTATTAAATACTTACTATATGCCAGGCACAGTCCTGTCTGACTTACAATCTCCCTTAATTCCTATACCAACCCTATGAGGTAAGTGCTGTTATTATTACTACAAGAAAATGAGCTTAGAGAGATTAAATAATTTCTCCAAACTCACACAGGTAGTAAATGGTAGAACTAGGTTCTAATACCATGGATTAACCTTTAAAAAGCAAAGCAGAATAAACAAATAAAAAAAGCTTTTGACAACTAGCTCCTTTTCCCCAGCCCTGTCTGGATTTTGTTTGGCAATATTTTGTTGGTTGTTGTTGGCCAAGACAGTAGAGAGTACTAATGAAATAGAAGAAACAGAAGTGAGAACTCAAGCAGCAAGTGGCTAAGGGACCTAGTGTTCTTGGTCACCAGTGGCAGTGGGTAATAGAGAAAGGTTCTTGGGGAAAGTAGAGCAACTCAGAGATTGAGGCGTTTGGCAGCCACTCTGGGAAATGGGTTCTAGTCATTGGAGCGACTGAACATAGGAAAGGAATCCTAGCAAGACTTCTTGCCAATCCCCTTCCTCCTGCCCCCCGCTTTAGGAAATAGGCATAGTTAGGGATAGTACAGAACTCTTCTTGATGGAGTGGGGAACTTCAAGGCAAAGTCTTGCCTTGTTGTTAATTGGTTCAGGATTCTTGTTCTGTTCCTTTCCCTAGAGTATTTTTTCCTACCTCAGGGTACTAGGTTATGAAGTTAAGTTCTGGTTGAGTAGAGTGGCAGCCAATATTCATTTGTTTGTTGATCTTTTTGATGGTACTTTAGTCTCTTTTTAATGGGAGCACCAATGTTTTTTAGTATAGTTGGTGAAATTTAGGGGAAAAAAAATCGCTTTTATCAACAAAACTTACTACATATACCTGTGACAAATAGGGTGTTTTGCTATATACTGGGGCTTATGTTCCAATGATAAAAATTGACCTCTTTCTACATGCTTAGCTCAATTCTTGACATTAAAGCAAAGAAGTTCTTGCTTTCAAGGATTATATTCTAATGGGTAGAAACAGATAAAAATAAATGAATAACTAGATATAAACAAACAAGTAAATAGATAAATAATACCTAGTAGCTGATAAGTGGATCCCTGGTGGTACAGTGGTTAAGAGCTCAGCTGCTAACCAAAAGGTTGGCAGTTTGAATCTACCAGCCGCTCTTTGGAAACCCAATGGGCCTGTTCTGCTCTGTCCTGTACGATCACTATGAGTTGGAATCAACTCGACAGCAACAGGTTTGTTTTTTTTGTTTTTTGTTTTGGGGGGCGGTTAGGTGATAAGTGCTAAGAAGAAAAAAAAATAGCGTAAGGTGATTGAGAGTGATGGGAAGCAGGGGTGGGGGTGTTGGGGGATTGCTACCGTATATAAGATGATCAGGGAAGGCCTTTCTGATGAGGTGATATTTTAAGTCAAGATCTGAAAGAAATGAGGAATCCAGCCAGGGAGATATTTGGGAGAAAAGCATCCCTGGCAGAGGAACCAAAAACCAAACCCATTGCCATGGAGTAAATTCCGACTCCTAGCAGTAGGTGTTAAAGCCCTGAGGTATGAGTGTGACTTTGTTATATCCCAGGACCCACAAGCAGGCCACTGTGGCTGGAGGGGAGGAAGTAGAGAAAGAGCAGGAGGTGATAAGGGCAAACAAGTAATGGGACTCAGATCATGCAGAGCCTTAGAGGCCAGGGTAAGACCTTTGGAGTGCGTTTTCTTCTATGTGAGATAGGAAGCCACTGGAAAGTTTTGAGCAGAGTATGATCTGACTTATGTTTCTGATTCATATTTTAAAAGGCTTACTCTGGTTGCCATGGGAAAATAGACTGTGACGGGTGATGAAGGTGGGCAGTGGCAGAAGCAGGGAGACCAGTTAGGAAGCTTTTGCAGTCATCAGTAGTCCATGGGAGGGATGATCTTTGCTCGGGCTAGGGTGGTGGGAGATAGCCAGAAAGTAATGGATTCTGGACATATTTTGAAGGCAGAATCAAATTCTAATTCTCCCTGTAGAGCTGTTTGCTTTATCCAGAGTTACCTCTAGGTCCATGGGCTTGAGGGTATCATTGGAAACTTGACAGCGATCCCTGGTAAAATGCTAAAACTGATTGAACAAAGGATGAGAACACAGTGACTTGTAGAAGCCAGCTTGTGTTCATAAAGAATAAGTCATGCTAACTGATAACAATTCTTTTTTCCTTTAAACTTTGCTGTGATTTTACTTAAACTGTAAAGTCAATACAAGTTCATTATAGAAATATTAGAATACAAAGACAAGCAAAAATAAAGAAAAAAATCACACCATCCAGAGAAAATTACCAGGTAGCACTTTGATATATATCAGGACAGTTCATTTTTGATAAGGTTCCTAGGCTGTAAGGTCAGGAATGTGCTGCAAAAGTAATGTATTTTAAGTGCTAAAAAGAAATATTTAAGATTTTCTCATGTGACCCCCCCCCAGACAAAATTTTTTTTATTGTACTTTAAGTGAAAGTTTACAGTTCACATTAGTTTCTCATCTAAAAATTTATACACACATTGTTATGTGACCCTAGTTGTTCTCCCTATAATGTGACAACACACTTCTCCTTTCTGCCCTGGATTTCCCGTGTCCATTCAGCCAGCTTCTGTCCCTTTGTGGCTTCTCATCTTGCCTCTGAACAGGAGCTGCCCATTTAGTCCCATATATTTACTTGAGGTAAGAAGCACTCTCTTCACAAGTATCATTTTATATCTTATAGTCCAGTCCAATCTTTGTCTGAAGAGTTGGCTTTGGGAATGATTTCAGTTCTGGGCTAACAGAGGGTCCAGGGGTCATGTCTTCCAGGGTCACTCCAGTCTCAGTCAGACCATTAAGTCTGGTCTTTTTACTAGAATTTGAGTTCTGCACCTCTCTTTTCTCCTGCTCTGTTAGGGACTCTCTGTTGTGTTCCCTGTCAGGGCGGCCAAGACAAAATTTGATGTGGACTTTAGAGCTGATTGAAAAATTGCATGCAGGTAGTGTGGTACCAATTAATTGATCAGTGTTTATCTAGAGAGGATATTTTTAGTGGCATTCTAGGGGACTTGTTCTTTGTTACAGTTTGTCTAGCAATTTGAACATCAGTACGGATGAAGACATAGAAAAGATGTGCCTGTCAGGTTTATGGAGCCCTGGTGGCACGGTAGTTAAGAGCTCGACTGCTAACCAAAAGGTCTGCAGTTCGAATCCCCAGCCGCTCCTTGGAAACCCTATGGGGCAGTTCTACTCTGTCCTTTAGGGTCACTATGAGTCGGAATTAACTGAATGGTAATGGGTTTGGGCTTTTTTAGTATCACTGGAATAGGGGCCCTGATGACTCAGTTATTAACTGCTCACCTGCTAACTGAAAGGTCAGCAGTTTGAACCCACCAGCTACTCTGCGGAAGAAAGGTGTGGCAATCTGCTTCCATAAAGATTACAGCCTTGGAAACCCTATGGGGCAGTTTTACTGTGTCCTATAGGATTGCTATGAGTCTGAATCGACTTGATAGCAATGGGTATTACCTTTACTTATTCACCAAACATTTATCATGTTCCCACCTTCCCTGAGCACTCTATTCAGTGACCAGGATGTAAAAATACAGCCCCTGCTCTAAGAGCTCAGAGCCCAGTAGAGGAAGACAAGTATATAAACAAGTAAGTATCATGGGTGCTATGAAAGAAACATCTCCAAAGTTTAGGGAGGTGCATTTCTGTTGGGGGGAAAGGAGATTTTGATTCTTGAAAGATGTTTATCATCAGAATGGGGCAGGAGCGGCTTAGAAGAAGGAAAGAGAGAAAGGGGAATTCCAAAATTGTTGTTTCTCAAACATTACCACCTCATCCTCTTCACTTGCTGTGAGATTTCAAGGTCCTCTGTGATTTGGACCCTATCTACGGCTCCATCCTTATCAGTTACTTACTCTGTAACTCTGTAACTGATTCAGCCATGCTGAATTACTTAAAATTCCCCAAATACACCTTGGTTTGTTTGCCCCTCACTCCCTGCCTCTGTCTCTTCCACTTACTCGATAAACACTTGGCTGTTATATACCAGATACTGTTGAAGGTGCTGGGGATACAGCAGTAAAAAACAACTACAAACACACAAGAAAACATGTTTCTGACCTCATGGATCTTACATTCTAGTAGAAAGAGGCAGACAGTAAACAAATCCACAAGTAATCAGGTAGTTAAATGTGCTAAGAAGAAATATAAATAAAGTCTCTGATCTTAGTTGTCCCTAGTGGTACAAACAGTTAACGTGCTTGGCTGCTAACTGAAAGGTTGGCGGTTTGAGACCACCCAGAAGTGCCTTGGAAGGAAGACCTGACAATCTGCTTCCAAAAAAATCAGCCATTGAAAACCCGATGGAACATAGGTCTACTGTGACACATGGGGTTGCCATGAGTCAGAATCGATTCTACGGCAACTGGTTTATCTTGCCTTAGAGCTATCCGAAGATGGGATGAATTGCCTTAGGAGGAAGTGAAATTTCTTCCTGTCATTAGGAGTGTTTGAACAGGAGCTGAATGACTACTTGCTGGGTAACTTCTGCATAGAGTGGGAGGTTAGATTCTATACTCTCTAAACCCTTTCCAACCTGAAGAATCACTATATGCTAATTGGGCTACTAACCTTGAGGACCCTGAGGATTGCATATCTAAAATATATGAATTTGTGATTCTGGAAAAAATCATCTAAGCCCAGTAATTAAATGGAAACACTTGAGAAGTGGTGAGATGTGGAGTGGATCTCTGC